CCCGACGCCGCTTCTCCCTTGCAGCCGCCCCTGGTCCAGGCCATCTTTAGCCGCGATGTGGAGGAAGTGCGTTCGCTCCTCTCGCAGAAGGAGAACATCAACGTGCTGGTGAGCGGGGTCGCGGTGGGAGGGCCGCGGCCGCCCAGCCCCTCCCGCCCGTCGGGCGGCTCCGCGCCTCGCTGCCCCGAGGAGGCCGCGGGCTTCCCACCCCGGGATGTGTCTGCTCCACATTTGGGGATGGAGGGCAGGTCAGCCTCGACCGCGGACGCCCGGGAGCCGCGTCTCTCCCGAGCCTGGGGTGCCCGCAGCGCCCCCACGCCCCTGGCAGAAGCAGACCGCCCTCTGCCCCGACCCTCTGTCCCCCTCCCCAGGGCTTACTTTGCCCCAGGATTGAGATTTAGGGGGCAGCACAAGCTCTTATGGGAAGAGCTTGTGGGCAGAGGCTGGAAACTCCAAGACTGGGATTGGGGGCCCCCTGGGGGCCCCCCACAAGATGTTGCTCTTTTCTGCTTTCCCAGGACCAAGAAAGGCGAACCCCACTGCATGCTGCTGCCTACGTAGGCGATGTCCCCATCCTCCAGTTGCTACTGATGTCAGGTGAGTGGGGGCCTGGAAGGTGTGGCCCCTGGGGGGGCCCGGGAGGACACTCTGTCCCTGCCAGAGACACTTGGCCAGCTTGGCCCCCAAGGCTGCAGTCCACCCCGCTCCCGGCCGCCGGCCGCCGGGTCCTCCCCTGCCACCTCTCCACCTCCGCCAAAAGAGGGAACGATTCCCCACAGGTGCTAACGTCAATGCTAAGGACACACTGTGGCTGACCCCTCTTCATCGTGCTGCTGCCTCCCGAAATGAGGTAGGGGCCCCCCTGCGCTCGCCCCTCGGGAGAGGATGAGGTGGTTAGGGTGGAGGGTAAGGCTAGAGTCTCCTCTTCTGTCCCACAGCTGCTCTGCCCCCAGGTAGGGAGGAGACCCCCCACCGGCCCCTCCCTCTTGCCCCTAGACCTGGCCGGTGAGGGGGGCTGAGCCTTGCCAGCTGAAGTGACGTCAGGGGAGAGCTTAACACTGGGCTGGCAGACGGCAGGGGGCCTGCTGCCAGGCCTGAGTGACTCATCCTCCCTGGGGGGCCACCTTGGAGTCCAGTCCCCCCTGGCCACTGAGACTTCTTGTGATGGAGGAGTGGGGTGTCGTGGGTCGTGATCTGTTGCATCCCTGGCCGGGGTGCACACTTACGCCACAGCGCGGGGGCCAGACCTCGAGCATCAGCTGGGCGGGCGCCTTGGCCGTGAGGAGCCAAGAACCCAAGAACGAGGCTCTCGATTCCACGGTCACCGCCCTGACTGTAGCCAGCGGGGGAGGGACTGGGGCCGGTGGGCCGGGGCGTGTGGTGACCAGGAGGGGCAGTTTGGCCGGGTCCGGGAGAGGCATGGGTAGCTGGCCGTTTACGGGGTGATGAAGACGGGGTGGTGCCTTGGCAGGGCGGCAGCAGGGTGAGGGCACCAGGGCCAGAGCTTGCTGCTCCCTCCAGTAGTTGGGGCCTGGAGTTCTCTGCGTTTACCGCCGACTTGGTCGCGGCTGTACGTGAGGGTGAAGACTCTCGGGGTCCGGGTTGGGGAGTGGCAGCAGAGGGCTTGAGGACGAGGACAGACTCCATGTCGTCGTCAGGAAGGCAGGCAAGCGTGTGAGCTCTGACAAGCTCCAGAGAAGGGCGGCAGGCACGGGAGGCCGGGCTGTGGGAAACGAGGCGAGATGCCGAGTGCAGAGACCCGGCGGCGGCTGCTCCTGCGGCCCCGGCCTCCCTCTTCTCCCCCACTCTCCACAGAAGGTGCTGGGCCTGCTGCTGGCACACTCGGCGGACGTGAACGCCCGGGACAAGCTGTGGCAGACGCCGCTGCACGTGGCCGCTGCCAACAGGGCCACCAAGTGCGCGGAGGCCCTGGCGCCCCTGCTGAGCAGCCTCAACGTGGCCGACCGGAGCGGGCGCAGCGCCCTGCACCACGCGGTGCACAGTGGGCACCTCGAGGTGGGCGCCCCTCCCGCCTGTGCCTCCCTCCCGGGCTCCGCGTCCAGCAGCCGGGCCTGGGCCCGGGCTCCGGGCGGCTGGCCGGGATGGCCGAGACCCCGGCTGGACTTCGCGGGGGTGGCCGCGCTGAGGCCGCGCGGAGCTGTTTGTGTTCGTGTCTTTCTGAAGGGAGAGTCTGTCTGTCGGCACATTCTAGGGCACTTTCGGGCACTTTGAGCCTCCAGAGACTCCCTGCGTGTCCCTGGACCTCCAGACCTGACCCGCGCTCTGGGCCGCTTCCCCGTCCCACTCGTTCTCCAGATTTCTCTGTTCAGGGGCAGAGGCCCGAGGCTGCCTCAGCCTACCCCTAGCCTAGGCCACTTGGGCACTTGGGGGGCCCGAAGCCGGCCCTGAACAGGTGTCCTTCGTGTCCTCACTCAGACGGTGAACCTGCTCCTCAACAAGGGAGCCAGCCTGAATGTCTGTGACAAAAGGGAGCGGCAGCCTCTGCACTGGGCAGCTTTTCTAGGTGAGAAGGAATTCACGGGCAGAGTAGGAACTGGAGGGCCGCCCGTTGCTCCGTGTAGCCTCAGCACCATGTAGGCGTCCGCAGCCGCCGCAGCGCCAGTTCGGTCCCCGGCCAGGGAGGGACCCCAGGGCGCAGCCGACCCCTCCTGTCTCCCCACTGCGCCCCTCTGCAGTGTACCTGTCCTGCTCCCCACTCTGTCTGCTGAATCCTCTCACCCCCTGCACCTCTGGCCTGCACCCCAGCTCTCGTGTGCATAAAAAATAAAAATAAGCCTTTTTTTTTTAAAAAAAGTAGGAATTTGACATTGAGGAACCCCAGGCCAGGAGAGGGCTGTAGCCTTTGGCGCCTGGGCTCCAGGGCCAGAGTCCCCTGCACTCCTGAGCGCACCCTTTCCGCCCAGGGCATCTGGAGGTCCTGAAGCTGCTGGTGGCTCGGGGGGCAGACCTCGGCTGCAAGGACCGCAAGGGCTACGGGCTGCTGCACACCGCCGCCGCCAGCGGCCAGGTCGAGGTGGTGAAGTACCTGCTCCGGACGGGGGCTGAGGTAGGGTGCAGAGCGCGGGCGGGCCGGGAAGGGGCAGCCGGGCAGCCTGCCAGCCGGGCTGGAGTGGGGCCGGGGCGTGGTGGGGCTTGGGGAGGGCGGGGGACGGGATTGGAAGAGCCTGAGTAAACTCTGCTTAAGTAACGGTGCCTGCAGCATATTGGGTCAGAAAGCAGGGGGACAGCAAGTTCGTTGGAACTTGGGGTGCTCTGGGCCAACCATGCCGGTCACCACTTTGCTTAGTGGGTCACCGCCCTCCCTGTCGCCCTGGAAATGCAGATCGATGAGCCCAACGCTTTTGGAAACACAGCTTTGCACATCGCCTGCTACCTGGGCCAGGATGCCGTGGCTGTCGAGCTGGTGAACGCTGGCGCCAACGTCAACCAGCCCAACGAGAAGGGCTTCACGCCGCTGCACGTGGCTGCGGTCTCCACCAACGGCGCCCTCTGCCTGGAGCTGCTGGTCAACAACGGGGCTGACGTCAACTACCAGGTGCCCGGAGGGGAGTGGCGGCTCTGGGGACCCTGTCTCCCCTGGGGGCGTTCTCTGGGGGGTGACCCGCTGGCCTCCTGGGTTGACAAGGCCGCTGCGTCCACGAGAAGGCAGGCTGAGGTGTCCACGTGACCACCGGCTTCGAGACGTGTTCTTGGGAAGGGGACAGGGCCTTCTCCACGGTTTACGCTGGGGAAACCGCCGTGTTTCCGCAGAGCAAGGAAGGGAAGAGCCCGCTGCACATGGCTGCCATCCACGGCCGCTTCACCCGCTCGCAGATCCTCATCCAGAACGGTATGGGGCTGGGGATGCCACGTGGACGCAGCCCGGACTCCCTTTCCTTCCTCGCCCAGCCCGCGCCCACCCCGCACCCGGGCTCCGTGCGTGCAGTCCGGCAGGCCCGCGTGGGGAGCTAGGATGGCACTGGGCGTGGGAAGGGAGCTCGCGGTGACCCCGGGCTGAGTGTGCGTGCGCCCCTCAGGCAGCGAGATCGATTGTGCCGACAAGTTTGGGAATACGCCACTGCACGTGGCCGCTCGCTACGGACACGAGCTGCTCATCAGCACCCTCATGACCAACGGCGCGGACACCGCCCGGTGAGTCCGGGCCGCAGGCTGCTCACGCCAGCCAGGGGCCGCAGACGTCCCAGAGACAAGGCGGTGGCCGTGGGCCCTGCGGGGTGGCACTGGAGGGCGGGTTAGCCGGTGCCCTGGGCCCGTGGCCTGAGCCCCCCTTGTCCCCAGGCGCGGCGTCCACGACATGTTTCCCCTGCACTTAGCTGTCCTCTTCGGATTCTCTGACTGTTGCCGAAAGCTGCTTTCCTCAGGTAAGAGCGGCCGGGCGGCGCCGGGCAGGTGGCGGGCGAGGCGGGCGGGTGAGGC